TATAGAGATATATAAAAATTTATAAATATATAAAATAATTTTATTATAATTATTATTTATAAAAAAACAGTAATAACTCAAATTTTATAAATTTAATAAAAAAATTATTTAAAAACTAATTTAATTATTATAAAAATTTTTTTTTAATAATAGCGTTATATTATTTTATTAATAATTTTTATTAAATTAATAAAAATATAATTATCATTATCATTATAAATTTGTTTAATACTTCATTCATTATCATTATAAATATATTATTTTATATATTAAATATAAATAATAATTATTATTTACAAATTAAATTTACTTTTTATAAAAAAAATAATTTTTTATTTAATAAAATTATTATATATTTTATGTTTTTAAATTTCAGTTGTTTAAAGATTCAGTTGTTTGATTAATTAACAGACAATTGTTTTCCATAAGTTTTTACGACCACTTAATCCCTATATTGAAACATTTGTTTAATTAAAATAAGTTTTAAAAAAAATTAATTATATATAATAATTAATAGATTTGTAAAGTACTTATTAAATATATAAAACTAGCACATTAAAAAAATAATACTTATTTTTAGTTTTAGTTTTTTTTGTAAATTAGTAATTTTTAAAATTTTAGTATTATACAATATTATACGGTAGAAATTATTGGCTTATTATTGAAATGGTGGCAACAAAACAAAATATTGGCCAAATTGTTTACAAAAATATTAATAATCAAATCGATAGATACAAACTAAATACAACAACATTTACACTTATACCCACACCTGTACCTATACCTGTACCTAGAGTTACACCAACTACGCCTAAACCTATAATTACACATTGAACACCGTCTACTATTAATACAACTATTAATATTATATCTTATACTAACTACTATATAATATTTATATAAATATTTATTAAATAAAATATATAATATTAATATATTATTTTTATATAAGTATATAGGAATACATTAATAATTAAATAAAATGTTATAATATATATTAAACTATTGTATATTAATCAATATTTAATAGTATATACAGTATTTTAATGTTAAATTGTAAATTTTTACCAAACATCTAGAAATGATATAAAAAGTTGTAAATAGATTAAACAAATTTGTTTAAAAAAAATTTTGTTAATTGATTTTAATTTAAAAACTTTAAACAGTTAACCAACAACAAAAAAATATTAGAGAATAAACTAATTTTAATAAGTTTTAAAACTGATTAATGTTTTTTTTAATAATTAGTAATTTTACATTTAGTTTATAATTATTTTTTTTATATTTTAATGTTTAAATAATTTTTTTTATAATTATTGTATTCATAAATTTTTAATCTGTAATTAATAGTAATTATTTATGGATATCAAAACAACAACAACAACAACAAAATTTTCGTAAATTTATTACTAAATGGAAAGATTCGGAAATTATTGAAAAAAATTGTTTTTTCGATTCTATAGAATATTCCTATTCTATTGTCTATAGATTAGAATCGTTTACTAATTATTCTAATAATAATAATAAAACGATAAAAATTACATATTTATTATATACCCGATTCTAGACAATAAAATTAATTGTAAAAATTTGATTTAAGATTTATATAATAAACAAATATTTTAATATTTTCAAATCAATTATTTCAATAGTTTTGTTTTAGTATTTTTATACAGATATATAAATTTAAGTTGTTTTTCAATAAATTGATTATTTAAAATTTTTCATTTAAACTTTGTAGTTTGTAATTAATTTATATAATTAATTATTTAATTACTAATTTTTTTAAAAAAAAATTATTAACAATTTATTTTACGATTAATCTATTGATTGATTTTTGTTGTATATAATATTCAATATACTATTATTTTTTAAAAAAACTAATTAATTATCAATTAATGTTTAACTGTATTTTCTATAATATTTATTATTTTTTATTAATAAAATTTAATTTAAATTTATAACAACTGACTTAATTGAATATTTTTTTTAAAAAAAAGATATATAAATAAATTAAATTTTATTTGGTAATCAATTCAACAATTATTAATCAAACAATTGGTTTCAACAAAAAAAAATTATTAATGTATGAAAAGATTCGGTAATTATTGAAAATTATTGCAAAAATAAATGCAAAACTAGTTTTTGATTTTATTTTTTATTTTTTTTTAAGACAATTCTCAATCATTTTTATCATAATTTTAAATAATACTATAAAAAAATTAATACCCAATACTTACCCAACAATTCAGACAATAAATATATAAAAAATAAATTATTTTAATTTTTCATTAAATGTTATAATTTATTTATATTAAACATATTTTAAAAGGATTTATTTTAACACTAGTTTTATAAAAAAAAAATTTATTGTATTTTTTATTTCTAATTGGTTTTAATTAAATAATTAAATAATTAAAATTCTAATTTATAAACTTTGTAATTATCTATAATTTAATATAATAGTTTTGTCTGTCTGTTTGTTTGTTTGTTTGTTTGTATGTGTGCACACTTCCTCAACAACAATTTTTTAATTCAAAGCTAAAAATATATTGTTATATTTTCAATTTTTATTTAAAGCAATGTTATTTCTTTGGGAAATTTTAAATGATTATTGAGCTCAGGTAGGTTTTAGGGACAGGTGGGCAGGTGTTGTGTAATAACATATTGCTATATTATATGAGTCTCATGGCACCGGGAGGTAAGCTACCTGTGCTAAATTTTTGTAAAATTTTCTCAAATACAAAAATTTTCAATTTGTATTAAAATTTTCAATTTTTATTGAAAGCAATGTTATTTCTATGAGAAATTTTAAATAATTATTGAGCACTGGTAGGTTTTAGACTCAGGTAGGCTGATGTTGTGTTACTCAATTTTGCTATATTATATGAGTCATAGGGCACCGGGAGGTTAGCTACCTGTGCTAAATTTTTGTAAAATTTTCTCAAATGCAAAAATTTTCAATTTGTGTTAAAATTTTCAATTTTTATTTAAAGCAATTTTATTTCAATGGGAAATTTTAAACGTTTATTGAGCACTGCTAGATTTTAGGGACAGGTAGGCTGGTGTCGTGTAATTACACTTTGCTATATTATATGAGTTACAGGGCACCGGGAGGTAAGCTACCTGTGCTAAATTTTTGTAATTTTTTTTCGCAAAAATGATAAAATTTTCAATTTTTATTAAAATTATTTAAATATATATAAAAACTAAAATTTCTCAAAAGTTTAGTCGAATTAATGTGCATTGGTTTAGTAGTTTTGTTACATTAGGCTATGTAGTAGTTGTATAAACAAATTAAGTCTCATTAAAATTACTTATGATGAATATTATAAAATTAGTAAAAGAATTGCACGGCTATACATGTTGCGCGGGTTAAACTAGTAACTTTAATATTATAATCGTAAATTAATTTATAATTGTTTTTTTTAAATGTAATTTTATTATTTGTTATTTAAATAATATTAAATTAAAATTGTAAAAGTTAAAAAAAAATATCAAAATTATGTTATTGCATAATAATTAATACTAATAAATACTGTATACACAGTAATTATTATTATTAATTAAAAATAACCGTGGTAATTATTGTATTGAATATCCCCCCCCCCAAAAAAAACTATTTATAAATTTTATATAACTTAATAAAAATTATTTATTAACTATGTATTATTTTCTACTATTAAATAACTATAATAATTAAATATATAAATATAAAATTTTAACAAAAAAATAAAAAAAAAACATTATAAAAACTAAAATATTGTAATTATCAAAATAACTGTTAGATTACAATAATATTAATAATAATAAACAGTTTTTATTTTCGCGGTTCCGGTTAATCCAAACTCTAGTTTTGTTTTGTTTTGTATTTTCAAGTCTAGTCTAATCTCAGAATTTCAAGTTCACGTCAATGTTATTAGAAATTCATACACACATTGATTGCACATTTAAATGCATTGATTGCATAGTATAGTACTGTTAGGGTTAGATCAGATTAAATACTTTATTTTATTAATCTAAAAGTTCCCTATTTTCCAAAAAGTTTCTTATTTTTCACAAAAGTTCCCTATTTTCCAACAAAAAAAGTCTCCGGGAATTTCCAGCTAATCTATTTCCTTGTAATATACCACTCAACCAATTGAACACTAAACAACAAATTTTTATTATATGATTTTTAATAATTAAATGTTTTATATTAAAACTGTATTTTTTTTGTGTGTGTCATTATAATAAATAGTATCACTAAATTTATTGATAAAATATTTTAATAAAATTTTATTCAAAACAAAAAAATATATAGTTTTTTTTGGGTATTATTTATTGTATAAATACAAAATATATATTCCTTTCTAAAGGGCTATGGAGGGAACATAAAATATATTCCGGAAAAATTGGTGCGATTTTATTAGGGAACTTCCCTCCCATTGGAAAGTTTAACTCCTGAACTCTAATACTAATACATATAATGTATATGTAGTACAGTGTGTATGTATGTGTGTGTGTGTGTGTGTGTGTGTGTGTGTGTGTGTGTGTGTGTGTGTGATTGGCTAACAGTTTTCCATACAAAACAATACTAAATATTTTCAATACTCTAGTCATTCATTGACACAATGAGACAGACATATACAGTGTATGTCACATATAACTACTAGACTAGACATGCTATTAACACAAAAAAAACACTTAACGGTTTGGTTCCGGTTGTTATTTATAAATATAAAAAAAAACTTATTTAAAGTTTTTTAATAATTGGTTTGAATTATAATAATTTTTTTTTAATTTACTAAATTATTTTTTTCAAGTATCGGTTTGGTTTTTACAAAAAAAAATTACAAATACCCGGTTTTAATTACTCATATTATATTACCTGTTGTGTGTGTGTGTGCGCGCGGTTTGGGTTTTTTATATTTCATACTAACCAAACAAAACCCAGTTAACAGATCTCTACTCTACTATTAGTAGTTAAATGTTATAATAAAAAAAAAATTTTCGTTTTTTTTTTCATATTATAAGTGAAGTGAAGGACAAACAGATAGACAGTACAGACAGTCATTCATTCAGTGAAGTGAAGTAATACTGACTTAACGTTTACATCACTTTTGTCTTCAGTTGTCTTAATTTTGGTGATCATTACTACCACCACATCATCTCTGAATCTCTTTTAATTGATCCATAAATCTCTTCGAGATCTACACAACAGGCAAAAAACAGGTAATTATTTTCATCTATTAAAACAAACCACAAAAAAAACGCACCACTTCTTCATAAGGTGTGGTAATATATATGATATCTTAAGGCATTGAATGTATGAAAATGTTTGGCCATTTGATTGACTAATTGATTTGTTTGTTTGTTTGTGTGTCACCGAAGTTATGGCCAAAGTCGGTATCAATGGTTTCGGTCGTATCGGACGTCTAGTATTGCGGGCGTGTATTGAAAAAGGTGTCGAAGTCCTGGCGGTTAACGATCCGTTTATCGATGTCCACTATATGGTCTATATGTTCCGCTATGACTCGACTCACGGCCGATTCAAGGGTGAGGTCAAAGAGGAGGGCGGTCTGTTGGTAGTCGATGGCAAACGTATACATGTTTTTCAAGAGAGAGATCCGGCGGCTATTCCCTGGTCTAAGGTCGGTGTCGAGTATGTGGTCGAGTCGACCGGTGTTTTTACGACACTGGAAAAAGCGGGCACCCATATCAAGGGCGGCGCCAAAAAAGTGATCGTATCGGCGCCGTCGGCCGATGCACCCATGTATGTAATGGGTGTCAACCATCAGGACTATCAGCCCACCCAACAAGTGGTCTCTAATGCTTCGTGTACGACCAATTGTTTGGCACCGTTAGCCAAAGTAATCAACGATAACTTTGGTATCGAAGAAGGCCTGATGACTACCGTACACGCGGTTACCGCCACCCAGAAGACAGTGGACGGCCCGAGTGGTAAACTGTGGCGCGACGGACGCGGTGCCGGACAAAATATTATACCGGCATCAACCGGTGCGGCCAAAGCTGTCGGTAAGGTTATACCCGATTTGAATGGTAAGCTAACCGGTATGGCTTTTCGGGTACCGGTTCCCGATGTATCGGTTGTCGATCTGACTTGTCGTCTGAAAAAGGAGGCCACTCTCGATGATATTAAGGCCGTGGTTAAGGCGGCCTCGGAAAGCGATGCCTGGAAAGGCATACTCGGCTATACCGATGAAGAGGTAATGTTTAGGTGTTTCCGGAGCCGTAAATTGTTTTTTATATATATATATATATATATATATAACTAACTAATCGATGGATCAATCAATCAATCAAACTATTAGGTTGTCTCAAGCGATTTCATTGGCGACACCCGGAGCTCGATATTTGACGCCAAAGCCGGCATATCGTTGAGCAAAACGTTTGTTAAGCTGATCTCGTGGTACGACAACGAATACGGTTACAGCAATCGAGTGGTGGATCTGATCCGTTATATGCACTCTAAGGACACCGCCGCCGCCTAAACCACAGCAGCAGCTGATGCAGTGTCAAAACACACCCACAGTTAGAGAGTGAGAGAGGACGGTGTGTCCATTAGTTTTTAAAAATAAAAAACAAATAGTGTTTAACCGATAATCCGATCTAAAAAAATATATCCGTAATTTCATTAATCCGTTTTAATCAATTGGATATCTAATCAATAGATGTGTTGTTTTTTTTCTATTATTATTATTATAATTATTATTTTAATTGAATTGAAATTAATATAATACTGTATTTTTTTGTTGTTGTTTTTGGTGTAGAATTGTTTTTTGAATTAAATTTTATTTTAGTAATATTTTTTATATAAATATATAAAAAATTACATTCAATTATCCTAACTATCTATCTATCTATATGTATGAATTGGTATTAGATATAATTAAGAGTGTATTTTATAAATTAAAAACTAATTAAATAGTTATAATAATAATCTAATTATTATAATTAGTCGTATGAATAGTTAGTTTTTTATTTTAAATTTTGATTCACAAATAATTCAATCATATATATAATATAAATGTTTTGTCAATGATTCAAATCTATAATAACAAACAATAAACTAATGGTATTATATATATTTTGATCGTAAATTAATTAATTGTTTATTATTATTATTATAAATTAATAAAATAATTTATAATACACTAGTAGTAATAATAATAATAAGGAAATTCAATTTTAAATTATAGCAAATAAAACTTTTACTGTATTTACAGTTATTACCGTATTTAAAAAAAATTATTTTTAATATATAAAATCTAATTTTTTTCGTACTAAAAAATTGTCGGCACTGGTATGTATATTGGCACTGGTACCTAATAGCCATGGATTTTTGTGACTTATCAGTACACTATATATGTGATAATACAACAAATTTACTGATAATACTCAATTGAAAACATATCAAACAGTTATATATATTAATATATATATATACTGTATATATATATATATATATATATATATATAATGTACCGTAAAATTACTGATAAAATTATTTAACTGCACTTTTAATTTTTTACCAGTATTAATAATATATAATAATTTTATTTATTTTTTAAAAAATAATTTACAAAATTATAATAATAATTATTTAATATAAAATTAATATCCAGTTATTATAATTAGTTTCCTTGACATACAAAGTTAGAAAAACAATTGAAGGAAATTGCAATATTGAATAACTTATTGAAAAAATAGACTTAAATAATAGTCAAATTTTAAATAAGTTATAATTATTAATAATTAAAAAATATATATATTAACTACAGTTACATAAATTTTTTAAAAATATTTTTTAAATTGTTTATTTTGGATTTATAAATAGTAAAATAAATTTTTATAAAAAGCAATATTTATTATTATTTAAAAAAAATAATTAATTAATAAATATATATATATATATATTTAAAAACATTTTTCAATTAGCATATTTCACTATATAAATCAAAAAATAATTTTTTATTTAAAAATTGCAAATAATCAAATTGGTCCTATCAAAAAATTTTTCCAAACATTTTTAATTTATAAAATTTTGTTGTTGTTGTAAATAATAAAATTTATATATATATATATATATATAAAATTAGTATTTTATTTGTAGCAATTAAAATGTTAACAAAATAAATATATATCTATATAAATATATATAGATTTTATTGATTGATTGCATCTAATAATAATAAATTCAACAATAAAATTGTTTGTTTGTTTTGCTAAACGCTATCCAATTCCTGTTATCACAAAAAAATTAAAAAAAAAATAAATTTAGATAAACATTAATCATATTATATATATATATATATTAGTAATAGTAGTGATAATAAAAAACTTAATAGATTTTAATATACAAACTTTTTGGACAAATGGTGGCAATCGGAAAGCGCTGGTATGTATTTCGCTGGTATAGTAGCGCAACTGCATACCAGTACACTGGACGGCCGTAAACTTGTTGACCGGATCGGCAAAATCGACCGACTGGTCCTTCGAACAGACAAGAAAGCCGATCTGACCGGACGGATAGGAAGGCACTTGAGTCGACCCGTACCTAACCGACTGGAATATACCCCGACATTTCCTAACCAATTGTTTGATAAATGTCAAATCAAACCAATAGGATTCGGCCTGACAGCAGATAATACCGCCCGTCCTCAACGATCGATACAGTGCCCGATAGTATGGTTCCTGGAATAGACATTCGGCCGGTCCTTTCGGATCGGAACTGTCGGTAATGATGACATCGAATTCGTTCGGGTGATTCTTGACAAACTCGTAGCCATCTTCAAACAGTAGCCGCAGTTTGGGATCGTCGAAAGCCGCGGACATAAACGGCAGGTAGCGTTTGGATACATCGACTACGGCCGGATCAATTTCGCACATAACTACCTGTTCGACCAGCGGATGTTTGACCACTTCGCGGACAACGCCGCCGTCGCCGCCGCCAATGATCAGCACTCGTTGGGGTAGTCGGTGGGAGTTTAGCGGCAAAAATGCTATCATTTCCTGATAGGAAAATTCGTCTTTTTCGGTACATTGGATGGCGTCGTCCAATACAAGACATCGGCCAAATAGTTCGCTAAATAGTTTATAATAGGATATATCAATAATCATTTGGACAGACAGACAGACAGACAGATAGATAGACAGTTAGATTTTTTTTTTGGTGGACATACATACCTCTGGAAGACCAGTATATTCTGGTAATCGGATTTTTGTTCGTGAATTATTTGGTCGACACGTATGGATAGGTTAGTAGTGGACGAGTTTAGTACACCTGTCTCAGTGAACCAGCCTTTCTTGAATGAGTCCATTTAGTAGTAGTTTTAAATTTTTAAAAAAAATATATATTTTTTGATTTTTTAAAATATATAAATAAATTTTGAATTAAAAATTTTGTGATTTTTTTTTTTTTAAATAAACGTTGATTTCAATGCTTTTTTATATATATACAGTAATAATGATTAGGCAATTGAAATATGAGAATAAAATTAAATATAAATTTTTTTTTGTTTCTCTCTCTCTCTCTCTCTCTCTCTCTCTTTCTAGACTTGTATATAACTTGTTGTGTAAATCGATATGTATTATACACACACACACACACACACTGTTAGTACAGTATATATATATATATATGATACTACTTATTATTATTATTATTATTAACAATATGTTTAGTTAGCAATAAAACAAATAGACATAAAATTATTATACAGCACTTTATTATTATTATTATTATTATTATTAATTAATTAATTAATTTGGTAAACTAAAAACACACTATAAAACTTAGAAAACCAATTGATATAATAAATTGGGTATAAATTTTGTTTAAAAAAAAAATATTTTTTTCACACAGATATAGATAATAAAAAAAATAAAGGGAATGCTATTCACGTGCACCACATGACTGCTGACTATATATATATATTATATAAAAAGAGATATTTTTGATAAATTTTTTTTTTTAAATTTAAAATACCAGTGAGAAAATTGTATTAATAATATTATATATATATATATATATATATATACTGTATATATATATCAAGTCAAATATAAAATGAGTGATATTTTATAGTTTGTATGATTTTATATTATATTAAATATTAATGATTTTCCAACAAAAATGTTTGGTTTGTTTTGTTGACATAAAAATCTCAATATATTGTATGGTATATTGTATGGTATTTTTAAGTCCAAAAAATAAAACCAATATTCTGTATATACTTTTAGTATTAACATTAGTACTGTCTATATATATATATACCAGGGTTGGAAAAATACAAGGTTTTCAATTTTTTTTTTGACTTTGTATAATACAGTATTATAGAAATTTTAAAACTAATATACCGTATATATTATGTTAAAATATTTAATAAAAAAAATATAATTGCTAGAAAATGCATTATTATTATTATTATCGTAGTTTCTAAGTTAAAAAAATCAAATAATTTAAACTAAAAAATATTTTTAAATCTATAAATTATTATAAAAACATTCTATTTACTTTTATTATGTATATCAATGCTTTTAGCACTAGGGGTGGCGCTTAAAAAAAAAATTTGTAAACCAAATTGGTCATGTATTTTACATTGTATATTATACAGTGTATACTATATTATACAAACATTTTTGTCACTGCCAACACTGGTATATACTGTACTGTACTGTATAGTTGTCTATCGATTCCCAAGTGAGGGAGTATTTTTGCCAAACACACCACGAGTTATTATTATTATTATTAGGCGTCGTTCACATATTACGTTCGCACTTTTTAAGAAATCTAGACCCCCTCCCTCCCCTATGTTCGCAAATGTTCGCATGTAGTCATTTAAAAAAAATACGTTCGCTTAACCCTAACCGCTACCCCCCCCCCACCACCACCACAAGATATAAGATATTATCTAAATGCGAACGTTCTTAAAGTCTCTACCCCTCCCCTCCCCCTCGTTCGCAAAAGTTCGCTTTGGCTAACCCCCCCCTCCCCTCAAGTGCGAACGTAATATGTGAACCACGCCTTATTACATTTACTGTATATATTAAATATACTGTATTTGGTTGCTATAGTTGATAGGCGCTAAGGTATACAAGCAGAGCTGCTGCCTCCCGGAGCTAACCAGTAATATATATAATATATATATATATATATATATATATATTGTATATACGTATACCCAGTCATGCTCCCAGTGCTCCCAATAGTATATATATTCAGTAATCAGGGCCCTCTATATATCTGTCTATTTCTAAATGATAGCAAAAAAAAATATTTTTTTATTTTCAGTATATTTCCACTCATGTCTGTAGTGTAAAGTAAAGTACATTTCATTTTTAAAAAAAAATTATTTTATTTTATATATATATATATCTTATCAGTTCATATACTGTATGGAAATATATATATATATGTATTGAAACAAAATTGAAGGTCAGGTATGAAATAAAATAAATGTATGTCTGTATCACTTATAAACCAAAAAAAAATTATAAATTATTATTATTATTATAAGTACTTATATATATATATAAAATATTAAATCGCAAACTTTGATCTCAACAAATAATAATAATAATAATAATAATTTTGTTTCAATTATATATATATATATAGATTTCAATGACTTATACTTCAATACCAGTATTGAAATGATTATAATTTGAAAAAAAAAGTTTTTTGTTGTTGACATTTAAACAAAAAATACCCGACAATTACCGGCGGTAATCATTGTCCCCCCCCCCCCCCCCCCCGACTTAAGGAATATTCTCCGCCGCACACACACACACACACACACACCAGTCCCGCGGGAGACAACTGACCAACAATTATCTGGTCAATCAGGTCTCTGGGCTATTTGAAACGGTTAGACACATTTGGATGACAAGTTAGAGGACAGTTAGCAGCTATCGACTTACCAAAACAAATGTCACAAACAACGACCACCAGTCAGCCAAAGCCGACGGCGACGCCGGCAACTATTCCGAAGTCCATTCGCTTCCTGTTCGGTGGCGGTGCCGGGTATGTGTGTATATGTTAATAATAATAATCCTCTTTAAGATATCTAATCCAATTGATTCATCCATTTTTTGTTGTTATACATCCAACCAGAATGTTGGCCACTTGTTTTGTTCAGCCGCTGGATCTCATCAAAAATCGGATGCAATTGAGCGGTAAGTGTGTTGTTTTGTTGAGGGGTTTACCAATTGATTTTAAACCCAGTGGTCAACACCACCACCAACAACAACAGGTCATCTGATTTGATATCAATAACTAATAATTATTATCTCTTATTAAAAAATCATAGGCGAAGGCGGAAAAGCTAAAGAACACAAAACAAGTCTACACGCCATCCGAGCGGTCATCAAGAATGAAGGCCTGAGCGGTATGTATGTCGGCCTATCGGCTGGTCTACTACGACAGGCCTCCTATACGACTGTCCGGATGGGCGTCTATTCGACACTGTTCGAGAAGGTTAGCCGCGATTCGCCAAAACCGCCCGGTTTTTTCACCAAAGCAGCCATCGGTATGACTGCCGGAGCTGTTGGCGCTTTTTTCGGTACACCCGCCGAAGTGTCGCTAATCCGGATGACATCCGACGGTCGGCTACCACTAGCCGAACGTCGCGGCTATAAGAATGTATTCGACGCACTCATACGTATCAGTCGTGAAGAAGGCGTACTGACTCTGTGGCGCGGATGTGTACCGACCATTGGCCGGGCAATGGTGGTCAATGCTGCCCAATTGGCCTCCTATTCACAGGCCAAACAGATCCTATTGTCCACCGAGTATTTCAATGATAATATTATGTGCCATTTTGTTGCATCAATGATATCGGGTCTGATTACGACGGCTGCCTCTATGCCAGTCGATATCGGTATGTATTGTTGTTGTTGTTGTTGTGTCCGAAACTGACCGGAAACCCGCGTCTTTGAATTATTTTTTTACCGATAATTTCATTTCTCATTTAAACAGCAAAAACCAGAATCCAAAACATGAAGATAATCGATGGTAAACCAGAATATAAAGGCGCTCTCGTAATACCCTATTCTTCATTTACCATTATTACCACTAATATAACAACAAACAAACAAAAAAACTATAAGACATTAATTATATCTTCAATTTTTTTCTACTAATACTTATTTATAGGACGTCCTGTTACGAGTGGTCCGTAACGAAGGTGTGTTTGCACTGTGGAAGGGGTTTACCCCATATTATGCCCGTTTGGGTCCGCATACAGTGTTGACCTTTATATTCCTTGAACAGGCAAACCAGGCCTACAAACAGTATGTATTGAAAGATTTTTCGGGCGGCGGCGGGCTTTGAATACAAATAAAACAAACAAAAATCGGCCGACAATTGATTAGTAGACAATTATATTGAATTGAATTTGTTGTTGTTTTTTGAATTATAGTTATAATTATATAATTATATAATTAATTAATTATTATTATTGTGTATTAGTTTTATATATATATATACAGTATATATCATACATATATATTAGTAATTTTTAAATCAATTTAAATGTGATTATCAATAATAATAATAATAATAATAAATTGAATCATTAATTATCACAATTAACACAAAGATCTCCACAAAAAAAATAAATATAATTAGAGATCAGTTAACAAATCTTATTGTCTTTAAAACAATGGTTCACTACTACTGACTACTACTACTTGAGAACCATTGGACCAGAAATTTCGGTAACTTTTTCGGGACCCAACAGTTTGTCGACAATGGCCAGCGCAAACTCGAACGTAGTTCCCGGTCCACGGCTGGTAACCAGTTGGCCGTCGACTACTACACGCTGGTCGTCGACGTACTGATAATCCCGTCGAAGTTCATCAGCTTTTGACGGATGCGATGTTAGCCGCTTTGTGAGACCGATTCGGTGCTCGAGTAGGGCTACCGGTGCCGCACAAATGGCACCAATCAAACGGCCGGCTTGTTGTTGATGGCTGAGTACATGTCCGACCAGTTCGGACGCGGCCATTGCTTGGGCACCGGCGAGACCGCCGGGCAATATGACGGCATCAAACGTGTGGCCGCCATCTCTGCCGTCGACAACATTGTCAAGGGCTACGTCGGGTACAATACAAATACCGCGACTACATTTGATTGGCTGTTTACCGCTAAGACCCGCTACCGTCACATCAATCTAATCAAAAACAGACAGTTATTGGTTAATTAATTCACGGCTAATATCTGGTCAACTGATTCATTCGGCCGATTCATTCATTCATTCATTCAATCAATACGTACGCCGGCTCTGCGCAACACATCCACAGTTATGACGGTTTCCATTTCTTCGGCGCCGTCGGCAACAATTACCAGACCAGTCGGCGGCGGCGGCGTTGATGCCATACTTGTGTGTGTGTCGGCCGCGCGGTATATAATTGACAAATGGACAGAAACAAACTGCCGATAATATAGGGATGATATTTAAGGGATCAGCTGATGGATGGATGGATGGATGTGTTGTCTTCAATGATAATGAAGTTAACAAAAAAAAAAATTATTTTTATTTATTTATTTATTTATTTATTTTTTTTGCTGACAAAACATTATACTGTATATTAAAAACTGTTTCATTATAAACAAAACCAAAACAATAATAGTAGCCTTATTTAACTTTTTTTTTTGAAACTACACTTCAAATTACGTTTTATCTCATATTTATTGCTTAGACAATAGCACTTAATAACAATAAATAAATATGAGATAACATAATTTGAAGTGTAGTTTCAAATAAAAATAAAGTTAAATAAGTGTATCATAACCAGGGTTTTAAGAAAATAAATGCCTGCCCTGGCAATGCCCAAATAGATGCCATAAATGCCTGGCATTTTGGGCATTTATTTTATTTGCCTGCCAATTTAAATTGCTAAAAAGCAACTGTATTTATAAAAATAATGTATAATAGTTTAGTGTTTTAGCTTGTTAATTAAATTTACAATTAATTTATTTATTTCCAATGATATTACCTTTTAATTAAAGATATACAAAACAAAAATACAAGCAAATATATTATAAAAACAATATTTTATAAATTAATTAATAGTATAAAATTAAAATAATAGGTGTCACCACCTGAAAATAGATGCCCAGGGCATGGCACAGGCAAGGCAGGCATTTGGCAAAATTGGCATCTATTGTTTATGCCTGCCATTTTTAAAATCCTGATCATAACGTGGCGGTCATTATTGTTTTGGTTTTTGATTTATAATGAAACAGTTTTTTTTAAATAAACACATTAACACAAAATATACGTCAAATAATATCATTGATTTTTATAAGTCATACTTTATATGTACATTGAATTGTACAGTAATACTACAGTACAGTATATATCACTTAAAAATTAAATATTAAAAAAATTATTATTAAAAACTAAATAAATTAATAAAATAAAATAAAATTATATACTATATACAGTATTAATAATTTATATAAAAAAACTAAATTATTTTTTTTAATAATAAAATATAAAATAAATCAAGGTACAATTTTTTTTAATCAGAAAACAAATTTATCTATCAACTAATTTAATTTTATTAATTTATTTAGTTTTTTTATAATAATTTTAATATTTAATTTTTGAGTGAGTGAGTGAGTGAGTGAGAGAGAGAGAGAGAGAGAGAGAAAGAGAGAGAGAGAAAGAGAGAAAATTTTGTAAACATTAGATTTTTTTCAATTATACGTTTAAAAAAATAATAAAATTTTAATTAACAACAAAAACATAGTGTATAACAATAATAATTGTAATAAATATTATAATAAATTTATAAAATACTTAATTTATTAATACATATATTTATATAATTAATATATAAATTAAGTTTTATTACAAATATATATAATTTATATATATCATATATATATATATTTATATTTTAAATTTAGATTAAAAAAAATTTATTTAATAAAGTAGACTAACTAAATAAAAAACAACTAAAATAATAATAAATAATAATTAGTTATATAATCTTTTTTTTAGTAATAGGTTTCCGTCCAATAAATTGTTGGCCAACTGTACCAAACATTCGGGTCTACGGACGACAACCGACGGCAATATCGTATATATTCATATATCGGGAAAATTTTGTGGACAATAGTTTTCAATCGGGAAAATAAAATAAAATCACTGATAATATTATTTATATATATACAGTATATATATATATATATATATATATACAGATGTGGGACAACAATATCACCAAAAAAAAAGATAAAATATTTATTACAAAAAATAATTATTAATTTTTATGACTTTTGAAAAAAATAAAACTTTTATTTAAATTTCTAATAATACAGTAATTGATTGTTAAAAACAACTCAATTGTAAATCAATTAAAATAAATATATTATATATTTTAGTTAATCTTTTACTGTATCGTTGATTATATGATATATAAGTTTTTCTTCGTCAACAATATATAGATAGTTATAAATAGCTGTAAATAATTGATTAATATTTATAATTAGTTGAATAATAATACCAAACATTTTATTTATTGATTTATTTAATATACTTTTTTTTAAAGCTAATAGACTTTCAGTTATCACTTATAGATATGTTTTGACGACTTAAATAATAATAATATATACGTATTATATAAAAAAAATAATTATAATAATATATAGCATTTGATTAAAATTTAATAAAACTATAAAATGAGAAAAAAAACATTACTTTCATATACTATTGCACTAATAATTAACTGCTAATAAATTTATTTATTTATTATATTATTATTATAATAATTCCCTTTTTAAAAAACAAACTTTATTGTATTTTAAATCTATAATAAAAAAACTAAAAATACTGTAATCATCATTACCGGGGATATCTGATATATCATTACCGCAAATATAGCACAAAAAAAATATATATACAGAATATTCATATTTATTAGCAAATTAAAAATTAATATTTTTCTTATAAACAATATTAATTTTAATAAGAATTTTTTATAATTAAAAAAAAAGTTAAACCTATATTTCATTTATTTAAATAAAAATTATTATATCATATTATATACAGTCCAGACTAACTGATTTTTATTCAATACTAATATACTGTATATTATAATATATATATATATATCAGGGTTAAGTAGGGGGGGGGGGGGGGGGGGGGGGGGGGGGGGGGGGTAAGGCCAAAATACCCCCCCCTAAGCTCGAGAAATTTGGATTTTACCCCCCCAGACTTTTTGACCAAATTGGAAAAATTGTCGCTTAAAGACGATGAGAAATGACCCCCCCCCCCCCCCTAAAATTTCGGCGCCGAAGGCGCCGAAAATTTTTTTGAGATTTATAAAAATTTTAATTTTAGTTGATACTATTTTATTAAGTGTTTTTATGTTTTTAATAATTATAAGAATCTAATTATTGATTAAAAATAGTTAAAATAACGTTAAAACTCATCCAAAAATAACATTATTTTAATTAAAATAATCTAAAAAATTAAAAATTACCTATTTATTGAAAAGAGTAATCATATTACAATTTAAATATAAGTTTAAGATAGTTTAGGAAGTTAATAAAACAATAAATACTTATATTATAAGTTTTTTATTAATAATTTTTAAATTTAAATTTAAAAATATTTTCAATTTTATACTTAATATAACTAAAACTTTAACGAAAATTGAGTTAAATAAGTAGTATTCAGTCAGTATTTGTATAAAAAAACATTTTAAAAATAAAAATATATAATAAACTATAAACATTAAGTATTATTTAAAAAATTAATTGTTAAAAGTTAAAAATTATTAAAATACAAAAAATAACTCATTGTGTATCATAAATGCTTTTATAAAATATTTTTAAATCAAAAATACATTATTTTACTTTTTTGTAAAAATTTTAGTTTTTATTAATTTTTTAAATTTTTTTTCATAAAATATTTATTTTTTTGTTAAAATTTAAGTTTTTGTTAATTTTTAAGTTTTTTATATATTTTTGGAAATTTTACCTATTTTCCTGGGAATTTATACGGGAACTTATGAGAATATTATCGAATTTACATGGGAATATTCGGGAACTTAAGGAATTTTTAGGGAATTTTCTCTTGACCCCCCCCCTTGATTTTGGATTTTTGAAAAAATTGCCGTTGTAAAATGCAATAAAAATCTTACCCCACCCAATACCCCCCAAGATTTTTCGAGAATTTTGCAAATTTTACCCCGGTCTACCCCCCCCCCTAAAATCCAAAACCTTGCTTAACCCTGATATATATATATAAACTAAAAATATTTATTAAATTACTACTACTACTAAAATTTACATTTATATTAACTATTATTTATTTTGAAATAAAATTAATTAAGCAATTATTTAAAAATAAATATTAACTAAAAAAATTAAGCAAAAAAATAACACATAATTCAACACAAAATATTTTATTATTAAGTTCAAATATTATAATATTTTAAAACTAAATTAAACTAATTAAAAAATTGATAAATAGATAAATTAAATAGAGTAAATCTAATTAATATATTATTATATTTAAAAAAAATATGTAACCCATAAACTTATAGGTATATAAAAAATTATATAAATATAATTAAATATATTAAAAGAATAAAAACTTCTTTTAAATTAAAAAATTATTATTCTATATAATATATTAATATTATTTTAAAAATTCTATTATTGAATCATAATATTTCTATAATAATAATAATAATAATAATAATTATAATAATAATAATAAGTTTTTTAAAATAATAATATTATTATTATCATTATACTGTATATTGTATTATAAAATATTTAATATTTAATTAAATGAATATTTTTCAACAATATAAAATATTTAATTTTATTTATAATCAATATAGAAAAATAACCTTGAACATCCTAGTATTAACTGTACCCTATCCTTGAACAACTATTACTAGACTGTCTATAATATTATTTAGTTTATTAGAAAAACAATATTTATTTTTTATTTTTGTTAAAAAAATATAATATAAATATCGGTGATAAATAAAAATTTTTGTTAGTCTCTACATTTTATAGTTTAAGTATAAAGTTTTTAAAATAAGCTTTAATTTTTTTTAAAAAATTTTTTTGGGTGTATATGTCAATCAATTGAAAACGCAATGTATGTATTTGTTAATTTTTTTTTATTATAACATTTTTATTAATAATATAACATAATAAAAACATTAATATTGTTATATTAAATATATTATATATAAAATTATAAATAAAATTAATATAAATTATTATTCTGACAGATATTTTGATTACAAATTATTATTTTATTTTGTTTCATTTAAAATTTATAACATTTAAACTTAAAAAAGCGTGTTATATATATATTTACAGTTAATTAAGTTATTATTTTTTTATAAATACTAATTACAGGTAAATATATTAGTTTATAGAAATAAGTTGATAATTATTGTTGATTTTTTAAAAATAAAAAACAATATATTTTTAGGTTTGAATTAAAATATGGGGAAAGGTGTCATACATACATACAATAAATTATATAAATAATTTTAATTTTATGTAATTTAAATTTTTTTAAAGATTTAACTAGAAA